TCATCACGCCGCTCTGTGTAGTGCGCAAAACGGTGTGGACTAAACATGGTGTCTTGGTATTGAACAGTACAAGGAACTTCGGATAGTGAGATGTTTGCGATAAACTTAATAATTAATGAATCGATTTGAAAATTTCTTTCACTTATAAACTGTTTAAAGAGTTTATAGGTTATGTTTTTCTTATACTTACTAGAAAATATATAACAGACACAAAATCTTAGATCTGTCGATAATAGATTAGATGTCATAATAAAAGTTGAAGTAGAATTAGATGTAAAGAAAAATGTCATTATCATTTTTAAGGTTAGAAATTGATATAAATTTAGGTGAAATCTGATTGGAAATTTATTGTACTTAAATTGTGTAAAAAATTAAACGCAGAATTTTTCTTGAACAATTAAAATATAGCAGCTACATATAGACTTACAAGGATCATTGGCAGTTGGCAATTTTGTGAACTAAAATGTCATTTTGAAATTATATTTTGACCAATGAGAGAGCGGCAACTGTATAATGTCGCCATTTTGATAATTACGAAATTCGATTTTTAAACATCGTATATTGTGGTATTGTTTTCAACAGGGGAGAATTTCACAAGAAATTACGTATTTTTGTCTGAACAAAAAACTGTCCTAAAATCCTTGTAGGTCTATAGATATGATTTGCAAAAAAGGTTCACATTATCCTTGAGAATGTCTTGTAATTGTGAATCTTTGAAAAGCGATATCATAGTGGGCAAGCGTAAAAATATTGTCATTATTGTGATGTAGAGTAAAAGATCTCTTATACTCCTTTTCCACACGCAACTAGACCTCAGTAGAAAAAGGGACTTATCCGAAAAGTCTTGATACCAGTGATAAAGAAATGAGTGGATTTGAGTAGATACCATGATTTAATTAGGAATTAATGTAAGAAAACGCTTCTGTTCAGTACGTAGTATATAATTGTACAGTATTTCTGCTGTCAATTTGTGAATCTAACTGCCATTTTAATGCTTAATTGAGTGTTGATTCAATCTAATTAAACGTGCATTTCCACTGACGAAACATTTCGTCACACTGATCTGTATGGATCGATCGATAGGTTCCTTGAGAATCACATATTAAGTTAACAAAAGCTATCATTTTCAAACAGACATGTCCATTTATACAGATCAGTGGTTATGTTTAAAAATGCACTCAACACTAGTCTTAGTTTTGTTATATCACAAATAAAATAGTTATAAGATGTATTACAAAATATCTCATTATGATATAAAATTATATAGACGGTAACATAGATGTATAACCTAAAAATAGTGTTTCATACAATTCTGACGTCTAACGGTAAATTGCTTTTATGGGTTATCCAATTTGTATTGTATTTAACAACATTGAGGTTAATGGAGGGAATTTACCCGAAAAATAGGCGGTGGGATATTTCGTATATCTTATCTGGTCGATGTATCTATAGGTTATATATCTATGGACAGTAAAGTATATTTTTAGATTAACATTTTCGTGGTATTTATCAAAAGTATAAATTAAGAGACATGTTATGCAGTAGTACTTATTGTAATTGTTATTAACTTTTGCTATTACTTAAAAAAACGTAACATATTTATTAATAAAATACTTATAAAATTGTAACGATTAAATAAAGTATAAAAACACAAGGATGTTTATTCTTCCTTTTCATTCATTATGAAATATTTAGTTTGGAGTTTCGTTGACTGAGAGGTTAAGCACATGACTACAAATCCTGGGTTCGATTCTCTTTTTTTAAAAACATATGTACATTTACCTGACATTCTATGGTGAAGAAAGATATATCTGCACATTTTTGAAGAAACTTAAAGATATATGAAGTCAAATAAAGCATGGTTGACTATGACCTAAACATCAACTTATGGTAGGCCCAAGCCCATCAGTGGGGATATACAGAAAGCTGATGGAAAGACCGTTTTTGTATAAGTGTGACTATGTTAAGTACTTTTTTTTTAATAAAATAGTAGATTTTTGTTAATTTACTAAATATGTCTTTTAACTATTCCAACTTAGCTCTAGGCTTGTGCTAGGATATGGTTCACAATAGCCGAATGGCAGGATTTGAACCATCGACCGCATGTTCGGTAGTCTGTACCCCAAACCAGGCTATTGGTTTTTGCATTTACTATTGCAAATAGATTAGTAAATAAGTACTCTCAAACAGGCTAGTCCCATCTGAGTTAATTCACTTTCCATCAAAATATTAAAAGATTTCATTAGAAAGGAGACAAATATAAATAAAAAAACTCTCTTTTATTTATTAACAATTATCCATAAATTAGTAATAAAGTAAATTAACACTTATTTCTTAAAAACATTATTTTTTACAACAAATATAAAGTACATCTATAAGTATTTAATATAATTTAATTTTTGTTATTTGCTTTATTCAACGCCACCTTCTCTATGTTGGCTGCTCTGGTCTGGAAAAGATATTTTTAAAGTGATTTATAATTAAGTCTTTTCCCATACCTATTTCATAATATATCTTTGCTTTAAAGTATCCTAAATAATACATCAATTATGCAGAATATTATAAATGCAAAAGTTTGCATGTTTGTTAAAAGGTACCTCCTAAACTGCTAAACAGATCTTCGTGAAATTTGACATAGTAGAAGCATAGTCTGGAAAATTTACTAGAGTATATTACTTCTGCACAAAATACCAACAATGGATGTGATAATTAAAAATTGTACAAGTTAATAAACCGAGCAAGTACTTGTTCACCGTAACTTCATTCTGATATTTCTAAATCTTTTTTATAAGCTAATAAAACATACCTGTAAAGATTGCACTCTTTTGTGTAAACCAACCATAGAATTGGAAATTGTAGTTAATCTCTCTTTGATTGTAGCAATATCAGCCAACTGAAAAATACATCATACTAACTATTATTGTAGGCCTAATTTAAGTCCCTTTCTCTTTACCACCCTTTTCTTATAAGGAGAGGTTGGGAGGAGGAAGTGGATTTGACGGTGGAGGAGATGCATAGGAATGGGAAATATCCTCTTTATGTGCATCTCCTCCGTCGTATAAGGGTAGGCAACGCATCTGCAATTGCGGATGTCTATGGGCAGCAGTCGCTTCGCTATTTTGGCGGTTTCAGGGTGGTCACTTGTCACCTTGTTATATAAAAAAAAATATATTATAAATGCGAAAGTTAAGATGGATGGATGTTAGCTAGAATCTGGCTAAACGGATGATTTGGCATAGATGTGTGTCTAGAAGAACACTTAGGCTACTCATTTTTAAACTTACTTAGGATTTTAACTTAACAGAGTTATTTTTAACAATTTTTAGGAGGAAGATGACAAAATTACAGAAGTAACATCAAGGGAAACAACGCCAACAACTGGCTTCCACATACTGCCAGATTTAAATATGGGAAAATACTTTTTATAACACACTGAAAATATTAAAAACAGTAACAGAATCTTACCAAAGCATCCAACATAGCATCACTTTGTAAGTCATTCAGTTTACGTCTCTCAGCTGACAGTATTTCGCTAACAGCCTCTTGTTTTTCTCTGTCAACATAAAAATAAGTAACAATACAGGTTCCTTCAAGAATAAGGTAAAAAGTTATCTACAATTCTCATAACTTACGAAATTTCATAGTTCTGGCAACTATGAAGATTTTATTTATTTAATTAAGTCTTTTCCTACGTAAAAATTATCCTTAAATGTGCTTACGTTAATTCTTTTAGATGGCTATGTATGGTTGCTAATGGAGGTTCGTACAGCTCCGTCAAGCCTTGTGCTAGAATTTGTACATTTTTCGCATCGTCCAATGTCTTATTTTCGCTGAAATCAGTGGTAATTATCAAGTAATTAATATTATAACACTAAACAATTAATGCAAAAATATTTACCTTTCCAAATCAGCCATTGTTTCGTTCTTATTTCGCTATCAAATACATGTAATCTAGGATCGTAATGTATTACTAAATAAATTATGATATTGTTTTACAATTTAACATTAGCGTAAATTATAAACTCACTAAAATGAAGATAACAAGGTAAGAAAATACACAAACAAAAAGTTTAGTTTTTGATTTTGACAATTGATAATGACAACTGACAACTAACTGATGACGTGTTCCTGTTTCTCCAGAAGATCCTAAACATGTAAATTTTTATGAATTTGTAACTCAGTATGTGCTTTAAAAGACTTTTATTTTCAACTTATTTTGCAGCTATGAGAAAAAAGGAAAAATGTACTAAAAACATTGGTTGCCTAATATTTTAAGAAGCAGAACATATCTGTTTCCTAAGTGTATTTTACACCTATAACCGAATAAAACATATACTTACTTCTACAGAAAAATAAGTAACCTTTGCTATTTTAGCTGTACTCTTTAGATATTAAGCTTTTTAACTTTAATGTTTATGAAATTAAAATATTTTAACACAGGAGAATAGTTACAAATCATGCTAACGTGGAAAGGAACGTAACATTTATGGCCGCTTGATTTCTTGTTTATTTGACGTTCTTGCGTATTCTGTTGACCAAGAGGGGATATCTACTGAAAATAATTGCATTAATCGTCGGCAAACATTTGCTGTAATAAACTGTGAATTAAAATTGCCAATCTGGAAGTGATACAAGTAACCCGCGAGGACGCCAGTATGACGTCCGTAGTTAGAAGACGGGAACAGGACGATTCGGGCGAATTTTCGGACGCATCTCAGGATAATGATCGAAGCAACTCGGTAAATGTGCGTTTAATGCTTAGAGCAGCGACCAGCCAGGAGAATGGACTTTCATGTTGGCGGTAAAAGAATTGCGACAGCACTTTCTCCTACGCGGTCGCGTGCCGGAATGTACATTTCTTTTCGTTTTATTGAGGTCACGGTTTGGCTCCACTCACCTAGCTGTCGTAGCTGTGTTTAGAGTTTAATTTGTTATCGTGTTTAATTACTTCGTCAGTGTTGTTTGTATAATGCAACTTCTAAAAGTCGCTGAACCTTTGCAGGACGGGGTGGTGAACGAATCGGATTACGATTCAGCCGCGAGTGAATCGGAGAACTCAGAACGAGATCCAGAGAGTCAGGTAATTGTTTATTTCGTTAGTAACTTTCCAACCGTCGACTTAGAGGTCAAGGTTTCTGCTTAACAATATCACTACAAAGATATCTGTCAGGATGTTGTAACAGGATATTCTAATAGGATAAAATTATTCTTACTAATATAAATACGAAAGTTTCGATGGATGTATGTTTGTTACTACAATCTCCAGAATGGTTTAAAGAATCTAAATGACATTTTGGTTAAGATGTAGAACATGTCTCAGAAAACAAGCTACTAATTAATTTTTTTTTATTTCATGCAAACAAAGCCAAGGGCAAAAGTTACTATGTCATGATGTGAAAAAAATAAATAAGTCAAAGAATATTGTTTGCATAGTACATTTTGTATTTATTTACCAGGTCAATTTTTTTATGCTTTTGGTATGTTATTGATTCAGTCAAAACAGAACTGGCAGGACAGTAAAAAAACTCATAATTGAAAACCTTCTTTTTGAAGTCGGTTTAAGAGAGATTAAAATAAGTTTTAATGTTTTAGTGTTTGGAAGTCAAATTTTAATGTGAGAAAATTTAGATTAAATATAATTTTGTATTGAGGAATTTTGTGTTATCTGTGTGATCTCATTTGACATTGGAATGTTGTTGATTTTTATTCCCACAAAGTATGAATTTGAGATAAGTTTTATGCAAGTAACAATTTGTTTACTTTGTTTCAATGACTAAGCTGTTGCTTTGTTAATTATAACACATATTATATACATATGTAGATATATTGTAGTCACATTTGTAATACTAGTAACACTAGTTTTTTACCCACAACTTTGCCCATACAATTTTCAAAAAGTTGCTGCTTAATGTTTCTATAACATATTCAAAATCTGTTTTGGAGATAGTAATAAATATCCATCCAAACAACCTTTCGCATTTATAATATTCCTTGCTTTCGCCCATGACTTTATCTGCGTGAAATTAAAAAAAAACAAAAGTATGTACCATATGTGTTCTTCCAGAATGTCCTCTACATCTTTACCAAATTTCATAGAAATCTGTTCAGCATTTTAAGCTACAAACTTTAAGATACATCTATCCATCCATCTAAACTTTCACTTTTTAATATTATAGTATAATTTATTGTAATATTTATATGTTTCCGAGAGCACTAGGAGCACCCTTAAAAGTAAGACTTCAATTTAAAGTAGGTTTAAGCCTTACTGGGATATGATTACTTGTGTAATGTACATAATAGCTATTTATTTGCAAAACTATTTTAATAATAATGCTTAATTTTTTGACTTAATTTAGAAAAGATAACTAAGTGGTAGAATAAATTTATACTAGTTAAATAATCTGTAAAATATAAACAAGGCGGAAGTTTTAGAATAAATGTGTTTTTTTGGCACTAGCTATTAAAATTAGTTTAATAAAGAGAAATCTCTAGTGAAAGTTTGACCGTCAAATGGATAATCTGCTTTTATTATACTGTGGCTCCAAACTGGGTTAGAAAAATGTAACATGCTTTTTAAGTATTTGAAATATATTTACTAATTTTTTAATCTTCCTTTTTACAAATGATTAGCTGTTCCCATGCAACTTATTCCGGAGGGAATTTAAAAAAAAATGTTATTGTGCAGATTTGTCAAATTAACAATTGCAAATGTCAAAATAACATGACATGATGTCAAACCATTGCAACCTTGATTCCTTGATGTTGCCAACAACTTATGGTCTGTTTCCCACATTAGGGTTTTAATCTAAAATATTTACCCCTAAGTTTAACAGCGTGAAAATATGTAGTCTAAAGCGTGACATAAGTGTAGGCCTTTTTATTAAAAACAGTTATTCGAAAATATGCTGTGATTGTTGACATCTTAGGCAACAAAGAAATGTGTGTTTACGCTTTACTATATTCGTATAGATGGATGGATGTTTGTTACTACATTTAAAGAAGGGTTCATAGTAGTTTATAGTTGTCACAAATGTTGAACATAGTCTGGAAGAACATGTAATACTAACAAAGCAGTTTTTATTCCACACAGACGGAAGGAACAATAGCTTGTTACAATTCGAACTGTTTGTTGGTATTAACAATTGATTGAACCCCAATATTTATGTACATTGGTATAGTTTGTGTTTTTGCTTGATCTTATTGTTTGATTTCAGGAAACCGAGAGAAGAGTTGATGATGATGAGGACAGAAGTAATCCTCAGTACATACCGAAGAGAGGGACATTCTACGAGCATGACGATCGTACCGCTGCCAGGTATAGTTGATAAAAATTAAACCAACTGTCACGACCAGATAAATCATACTTACTAATGTAAATGCGAAAGTTTAGATCGACGGATGGATGTTTGTTAGAGTTTGTATCCTGAATGGCTGAACAAATTTAATTTTAATTTGGCATAGATGTAGAGGATAGTCTTGAAGAACACATAGGCAACTCACTTTTGTTTTTTTATTCCACGCAGACGAGGTTGCGGGCGAAAGCTAGTGTAACCAAAAATGACAAATGTATTTCTTGATTATGGCTTAGTGTTAAAAGTACAAATTGTAATTAGTTTTAAGTTAGTGTGTAATGCAATTGTAATGGTTCAATCTTTGTTACCCTTTTTAATAAATTATTTCTATACTAGCTTTCGTCCGCGACTCCGTCCGCGTGGAATTTAAAACAATAGAAAGCAACTTATGTGTTCTTCCAGACTATCTTCTACATCTATGCCAAATTTTATTGAGATCCGTTCAGCAGTTTTGGCCACAAACTCTAACGAACATCTATCAATCTAAACTTTCGCATTTATATTAGTAATTTAATACTTTGATTGACTTGTTAAAGTTTGTAGCCTAAACTACTGAAGAGATCTTAATGAAATTTAGTCTGTAACACAGGCTATTTACTTTTGTTTTTTTTTTAAAATACTGGTTTGTAATTATTTGAACTGTTTATTGGCATTATAGTTGATTGGTCAGCTGTAAGCTGGTGCATTGACCTAACTGTGCATTGAGCCGTTAAGTCCATATTTACGTAACATGTATGCCGGTAGAAAGTTTGATACACGTTTTTACTTGATAACTGTTTGTTTTCTATCCTGTTAAATAACTAGCTGCTCCTAAAATCTGCATGTAATAAAGACTGTATCTTATTACATTGTGTAAAATTTTCATTTCCAAATGTCAAAATATGAATTCTTAAATTTCGTGTTCCGGGTAATCTCCGAAACGGCGGGACTGATTTTAACAAGACTTTTACTGGAAGATAACGGATATGGACAGGCATATTATAGGCGATTTTTTTTAATCCGCGCTGTCAAAATGGCGACCGGATCGCTATCTGAACAGGTGGACCGATTTGGACGGGTCTTTGGAAGGTAGTTGTTAAAAGGATGGACACGGCAATGTTCTGCGCTAACGAAATTTGCAGGAGATAGCTTGTCTACTTTTATAATTCGTGTATTAAAACAACATATCTATACTAATATAATAAAGCGGAAACACACACTTCTTTGTTGCCTAAGATGTCAGCAATCACAGCATATTTTCGAATAACTTATTTATTTAATAAAAATCCCTACACTTACGTCGCGCTATAGGCTATATATTTTCACGCCATTAAACTTAGGGGTAAATATTTTGGATAAAAACCCTAATGTGGGAAAGAGACCATAAGTTGTTGCCAACATCAAGGAAGCAAAGTTGCCATGGTTTGACATCATGTCATGTCATTTTGACATTTGCAATTGATAATTTGACAAATGTGAAAAATAAAATGATTTTTTTTTATAATTTTATGTGGATGAAGTCGTATGGGAACAGGTAGTTCGCTAAATAAAGAATTCTCTCTATTAATCAGAATCCATACAAGTGTTATAAATTCCGTACATTGGGGTCAATAGTAAATGATAGACGGAAAATGCTTTTTATGTCTGTTTATGTAATATATTTGTTCACAAGTATTTATTCAGCAGCATTTTAAATTATAAGTCGTCCGAAAACTTCGTTAGAATAAATTTGGACCACCCGTTACGTCATATTGACAGCGCGTAAATAAAAAAAGTAGCCTATAATATGGCAGTCTGTGTCAGCTGCCCTTCAGTAAAAGTTCAATCGAAATCGGCTCAGCCGTTTCGGAGATTACCCGGAACAAATGCGACTTGTGAACAAACAAAAAAAAAAAAAAATTGTCTTTCGTTATTAACAACGCAAATATATCATCTTCCCCAAATCTGGGATGTTTCTTTTGAAATTACAGACAGACACTCCAATTTTATTATATGTATAGATATTTAAACTCAAAGTTTAATTAAAATTTTGACGCCTGGTATCGGTACTATAGCAATCTTGCTTCCTTGTTTCTATTTGCTTGTTTTTGTCCCTTTCCAGTGTGACGATTTTTTCCAATTTATTCTCGCTCTAAAATAAATAGCGTGAAATTGTATGTTGTAAGTGTAGGGTATTTTTATTAAAAAAGAATTATTCCTAAATATAAAGTGATTGCTGACATCATACATAACAATGTGTGTGTTTACGTTTTATTGTATAACTACCGTTCGCCCGCGACTCTGTCAGCGTGGAATTAAAAAAATTAAAGTCAGTAGCCTATGTGTTCTTCTATACTATATTTGTGTCAAGTTTCATCCAGATCCGTTCAGCCGTTTAGGCTACAAACTCTAACAAACTTTCATCCATCCATATTTTCGCAGTTATAATATTAGTAAGATTGCATTTTCAATAGTATAGATTGTGAATTAGTTCCACATTTTTCCGCAATATGGTGACTGTTTTAATATTCCTTGTAAGACTGTACATGTTTTTTTTTTAATTTTCGCAGTGGCGAAGAATCGGCTAACACGACATCGGATGTCGCTTCAGAGAAGAAGGAAGGCTCCGAGGCGCCGGCGGAGCGCAGGCGACCTCCACGGAAATCGGAGTCCGTTAATAAATGGTCACACGATAAATATAATGAAAATGAACAGGTATGAACAATTTATTTATTTGCTAGCAGGATAACTAACAGATAATCCTTTTTATGTTTTTCTAATTAAAAAAAATGATATTCATAACAATAACCAAAAGCAAATAAAAAAGTAAAAAAAAAATCAATTTAATTGAAAGTAAACGATCTTTTCTATAAGCGCCTATTCGAACTCTTACAACTTAATGTAAGAAAGAGACGGTTGTGGTCTCGGTTGCTACACATTGTGACCAAATGTGTGCGAGTGAGACGAAACGAATTTCAGTTTCATCTTTAGTCGCATTTCGTTTCAATTTTGTTTTGATAAGCGATAATCAATTATTCTAATATAGCATTTCTAATGTGTTAGATGCCAAAATCCCGTGACGAGTTAGTTGCTATATACGGCTATGATATAAGGAATGAAGACGCGCCGCCGCACGCACGAAGGAACAGGCGATATGGGTATGTTATTTTTATTTTCATCACCATCATCATCATTTCCCCTATCATATCCTTCTCCCGTAGTGTTGTCGCACCCGGTTTTTGTACTCCAAATAACTCTATCATCTTATCTCAGTCATCACGGATTATTCCCAACCGTCACCCCGCTCTGTCCCCACGTGAGGACATATGACAATAAAAAGATTCAACCGTTCCACCTTTTGCGATTAGGGGAGGGTTGGAACTTATCTCATAACGGTTCCATCTGTCACTTTATTGGTGATAGTGGGACTAAGAGTTGGGATGGATAAAAGATTTTATTCTCACGCGGGGACAAAGCGCGGTGACGGTTGGGAATACTCCGTCATCATTCCCTTTCTCATCATGTCACCTTTCACACATGCCATCTCTTTTTAGGTCTACCTCTACTGATGTACACACTCATAACTAACGTTCTCCTTGTAACATGCGATTCATCCCTCCTCATAACATGCCCCCATGCTAACCTTTTACTCCTTACCTTCTCTACCACTGGGGCTCTCAAACTTCCTTTAATATACTCATTTCGTATCTTTCCATTCATGTTACTCCACAGAAAATATTGACAAAAAGTAAAATTGATTAAAATAGCTCCATCATTATCATCATCATCATCATCATTATCATCGTCGTCGTCATCATCATCATCATCATCGTCATCATCATCATCAATATCATCAATCTGTGTCTTGATCAATAAAATTTGGTTAATTCTTTAGTCTAGAAAGTGTTAAATTATAAATTAATGTTTTAATGTTGCCTAACATGGAGATTCCGGAATTGGCGGTCAGTTTAAATGGTCTACTAAATATTGTTTGCATGGCTTTGCATGAAAAATGTCAAAATGTATTATTCATATTTATATATATTTTTAAAGCTTTGTTTATCAGATCTTTATCATATTTGTGTTATATCTGCATGGTAATCTTTGTAAATTTACATGTCTTATTAAATAAATAGGTTTTCTGCCCAATTGAAATGAGGGTAAACTTTCTCAGCCAGTACAGTTGGTCAGTAGCGCAATTACTGGACTAGCATTCAACTGGAACAGTGTGAATTCCAACTGGCGCCAGTTAGTGCATACAATCTATGGTTGTAACTGTCCAACTGTTCTGGCCAAGAGTGGTTACCTTAGCCGCTTCAATTTTTCCTGTCACTACTTACTACGCTCGCGACTTCTCCCAAATGAAATT